GCTGGGCGCGGTGGCGCCATTCGGACCCTGACGCTGGGGCCTTCGGTGGATGTGTCAATGAGGCCATGAAAGGTGAGAAATTGACGTTGTGGTGCCATGCGAAGCTTGCCACTTGGGCCTTCGGTGGAGCTCCCTATGGAGCCATGAAGCGTGTGAGGAGTGTGCCGCCTGTGAGGCCACGAGACGTGTAAGGGGTGTGCCGAAATCTGCGCGTTGGCGCCATGCGAGCCCTGCCACCTCCTTCGGTGAATCCCCTTATTGGGCCAGGAAACGTGTGAGGGGTGTGCCGGAATTGATGCGGTGGCGCCGTGCGAACTTTGCCTTTAGGGCCCCCCTGATGGGGCCCCGAAATGTATGAAGGTCTGCTCGCATGGGCGAGGTGGGGCCATGCGAACCCTGCTGTTGCCAATGGGGCCATGAAAGCTGCGAGTGGTGTGCCGAAATTGACGCTGTGGTGCCGTGCGGACCCTGCCACTGGGGCCTTCGGTGGGGCTCCCCATGGAGCAACGACACGTGCGAGGGTGTGGCGACATGGGTGCAGTGGTGCCATGCGACCCCTGCCATTGGGGCCTTCGGTGGGTTTCTTCGGGGGGCACGAAACGTGTGAGGGGTGTGCCGACATGAGCGCGGTGGCGGCATGCGAACCCTGCCATTAGTGCCTTCGGTGGAGCTCCATATGGAGCCAGGGAACGCGTGAAGGATGATTATATGAAAAGCGATTATGCTGCTGTCGATGACGCCGATGATGACGAGAGAGGCGGGGGAGGAGGAGGGCGGAGGAGTGGACGCGCGGCGCTGCTAATTGAAAACGAGGACCCAACACCACAGGATGGTTGGGAAAAAGCTGTTTCTGGGGAGCTGGCGGGGCTGCTTGGGGGCCTCTTGAGAGCCTTCTTGGGGGCCTCCTAGGCGCCTCTGGGAGGCTTCCTCGGTTTCTGTTCAGGGGCCCTTGGGTTCACCTTTAAGTCGGGCACGTCCCTCTACAGGATGACTATCCAGACATAGTTTCAAAACATAGTCTGGGGACGCATTTGCCCGCATGTTTGACCATCGTTGCGTGCTTTTTTCTGGTATTTTGCATTTGTCCTCCCTCCCAGATCCGCCTGTAGGAGCACATGCCCGACCTGCGTCCACCTTTCAGGTGAGGGCTCCTGGCGGCCCAGCGGGGGCGCACTCTTTGGCCCTTGCCTATATGGGCCGCCTCGCGGGCCTCCCGGGGCCCCTCGCGAGGCCTCTCCCGGGGCGGCCTTGCGGTGGCCCCTCCCCCCAGGCCTCCGACGCCGCGCCTCCCTCACAGCGTCGGCCCCACCAGAGGCCTGGGCCCCTTCCCCGGGCCAGGCTTCTCCTCCCGAGCCGTTGTCCGACGGCCCCGAGGCCCGGGGAGGGGCCCGCGGACGCCGAAGACAGCGACAAAAATCACCTCCCGCCGCGATTCCCGGGGGCGGCAAAGAGGGGGGGTGATGACTAGGGGGGGGGTGGATATATCATGGCGGGGGCCAGGATATCTCCCCGGATTTCATGGCGCCTCTTCTTGTTTCATTACGTCCCTGGCCCCCCCGCTGGGCCGCGCACGTGCCGCCGGTCATGATTTGCACCCCCCCCTCTTGGACACCCCCCTCTTGGCCGCTCCCGAGTTTTCTGACGGCCCCGAGGCCCGGGAAGGGCCCGCGGATGCCGAAAACAGCGAAACAAAAGCCTCCCGCCGCGATGTTTCCACGGCGCGAGGGGGGCCTGGGTGCAGGCAATACTTCTGTCCATATCCACTGCAGTATGGAATTTCGGGCTCCCTTCCAAAGAAACCCGAGGCGCACTGGAGATGGATTAACTTAACTTTGCCCCCCAAAGGCTCGCTTGTTATCAATATCCAGCGCGCCTCGGCCTTGTGGCGCCGCTTCCGAAAAAGTCCAAGGGGCACTGGATATGGACATGAATCTTGCCCGCACTGGGGGCTGCTGGCCCCTCCCATCTGCGGCGTGCCCCTGGCGACCGGCAGGGCGATGGCACGCGCGCGCCGCGCAAGAGAGAGCCCAGCGCGCCTCTCCCCTCCGTTGGGCCCCGCGGGGGGGGCCTCCTCCGCCGGCCCCCGAGGGAGGAGGAGGAGGAGGAGGAGGAGGAGGAGGAGGAGGAGGAGGAGGAGGAGGAGACTGAGGTGGAGGAAGAGGAGGAGGAGGAGGAGGAGGAGGGAGGAGGAGGAGGAACCTCGACCTCCTCCTCCTCCTCCTCCTACATGTTTCCTCCTCCTCCTCCTCCTCCTCCTCCTCCTCCTCCTCCGCCTCCTCCGTGGGCAGCCGAGCCGGCCCTGCCGGGGCCCCGAATTAAGGAGCGTGCGGCGTGCGGCTGGCGCTGCAGAGGTCGCGCGGGAAGCCAAGAGGTCCAGTGCGTGTGGAAACAATCGACAGACGGAGGTGTTTCGCACACTTCGGCCCCGAGGGGCCCTCGCGGGGCCTCGGGACCGTCAGAGAGCGACGCAGGATGGAAAACCGGCCCATGGGGAGTGGGTCAGGACTTCCGGAGACCACGCATTGGAAAAATCACGGCGTCGGATCTCTGGGCATGTGGCGCCGCCAGCCCGCTTCTCACACTCAAGCAGTGGCGAAGCGTCCTGGCTCGCCTATCGGCCCACCACAGAATGTTCTAAGAACCTTTTGCGGTCTGCGCGAAGTGTTCTTAGAACAGTTCTGGCCGAGACTGTCTTGCTTGTCACACATCGGTCTTATGTTCTAAGCACACTGTTCTTTGTTCTCGGAACATTTTGGGGTTCTAAGAACATGTCGTGGTATGACTATAGGAATGCCGGGACGGTCGGCCCCTGCTCAATACACGCGATCCCCCGGCCTTGGGGATCGCGTGCGCCGACGAAGCATTGGCAGGGGTATATGGCGCAGGGACAGCGTGCGCGGAGGAGGCTCTGCTTCGAGGGAAAAGCGCGCTTTTCGGAGATCGCTGTCGTATGCTATCTTTGCGGCGCCAACCGTAGGCACCTGGGGCCATGTGAAGGCGCGCTTGGGGCGCAGAATCTCAGCGACGGTCTCGTGGCCTCGGGAGAAAATGTCGCTCTTGCGCGAGCTGCAGGGGCGGGCGGGGGGCGCCCGGCAGTGGCGGGCTTGAGGCTCTGGTTGGGACGCGCATCATGGTGCCATAAGCTTTTCGTCAAGGTACCCTGGGTTTCTTCGCTCCGCGCGCTGCGCGGTGACTTCAGCGGCCGCTGAAGAAGCTGCTGCGTGCAGGGTGCCTTGGGTTCACCCCCCCGTGCACCTCACGCGTGGGTTTTCAGGGCTAGGTTTCTTGCGAGGGTTTCTTGCGGCCGCGTCCGCACTGCATCTGTTACGTGAGGGCCCTCCACCCAGTGCCCGTACCACGGTGGCGGGCATGTACTGGCGAGCGCAACTGTGTGCAATGTCTGGGGGGGTCGCAACAAAGGCAGACGTGACCGTTGACAAATGTTTGGCCGTGCTGTTTTTTGGTAGCGGTTTGCCAGAGTTTTCGAACGTTGGTCATATCCCCGCTGTATCGCTCCTGGCAGGCAGGGGGAAGCACATCCCCGCAGCATCTATCCTGGCAGACAGGCGAAGGACTTTGCTTCGACTTGCATGGTCCTCCGCTGGTCGTCGCCGTCATCGTCGTCGCCCCCGTCGTCGCCGTCGTCGTCGTCGACGCGGTCGTTGCGGTCATCGCCGTCGTCGGCGCGGTCGCCGTTCCCGTCGTCGCGGTCGCCGCCGTCGTCGCGGGCGTCGCTGCCGTCGCCATCGACGGCGGCGATTGCGATGGCGACTGCTCAGACGGGCCGCCTACAGTCGGGGCCCTGAAGAAGGAACCCTCTTCGTTGGGGAGGGGCTCCGCGTTCCTTAAGTGTTTCACAGCTTGCCTCGGGCTTTCCTTAGGTTTTCGATCGGAAATCGAAGTTTAACTTCTGGAAAAAAGGGGCCTCGTTCCTTCATTAGGGTTCCTTAGGTCAACGCCCCGACTGTACTGGGAGAGGGATTCGCCAGTCCTCTGTGGACATGGCGTCCGAAGGGTTCCAGGGTTCCGCAGGCTTCTGGCGACCGAGGCCGCGCGGGCTCTCACGATCGGCGTGGGGAGGGAGTCCTCTGCCTCCTCTGCCCTCCTGGGGTGCTGTAGCAGCGCGGGCCTTGCTGTCCCGAGGCAGCGTGATGCTGCCTGTTTGGGCCTGGCGGCCAAGCGCATCGCACGCGTCTTTGGTCGCAGATGGGAGGGTCTCGCCTCTTGCCGAACAGGGCCTCCGTGTTCCATTCAGCGAGCGAAGACCGGTATAACATAAACTTTTTCGCTGTCGGGGGCGCCTGTCCCTGGACGGCTGGAAAGTTTCTACCCCCCTACGGTGCCACCGTGAGAGTAGAAGCTTTCCAGCCGCCCTGGTACAGGCGCCCCCGACAGCGAGACAGTTTATGCTATACCGTTCTTCGCCCGTTAAAATCCATGGGAGTCGAAGGTGGGGGCGCCACGGGGGAGGAGCTCGCCTCGAGCCGCCCCGCCCACGCCCCTCCCGCGCTCGGATGGATGGAGAGGAGGCCCCACGGGCGCAGTTGAGAGGCACGGGCACCGACGCAAAAGGCACGCAGTGGTCGCCAGCATGGTGGAGGACGCGCGTCGCCCCCATCAGGGCGGGCGCGGCGGCCACGCGGACGATGATGCTGCTGATGATGGTGACGGTGATGGTGATGGTGATGGTGATTGTGATGGTGATGGTGATGATGATGGTGATGGTGATGGTGATGATGATGATGATGATGATGATGATGATGATGATGATGATGATCATGATGATGATCATGAGCATGAGCATGAGCATGAGCATGATGATGATCGTGATGATCAGGATCATGATCATTGTGATTATTAGTATGATCGTGATCATGATCAGAATCACGACCATGACGGTGATGGCATGAATGATGGTTCTGGTCATGCTGGCGATGTAGAAAAGTATCATCCTGATCATGGCAATGCTGCTTATGACGATGCTGATGGGCACCACCGGCATGAGCACCAATACCATCATGACCATGGCCGTTCTTTTCGACAACGCGGACACCACCAGCTGGCCACCTCCAGCCACCGCCAGCATCTGAGCGCAACTCTGGTTCGACGAGCTACGCACGGAGACCAGCATCGCGAGCGATCGGTGCGCACGGGAGGCTGAAGCGGCCTCGCAGAGGACGCTCACGGTCGGCCTTCCGAAGGGCACCCCTCCGAAGGGTACCCTTGCATCCTGGCCTCCTCGGTCCATCCTTCGCCACTCTCGCTGGCCGCGCCCCGCTCGACCAGCTTCGAAATGGGCGTCCAAGGCCCTTGCACCCTATATCGCGCATCCTCCTGAGACGGACCGGCCGTGCCAGCCCAGGCTCGTCCTGGGCCGAGGGCCGGGGGATGACCTGCCCTTGCCGAGGACACGGCAGGCCCGCGGCCACGGCCGACGCAGGGCGTGGGCGCCTCGTCGGCGGGCGCCGCTCCTCCCCTCCGCCCGCGCGGGGCAGGTGGCTGGTCCTGGTCGTGGTGGCCGCGGGCTTCGTGGTGTCGGTGATCTTTCAGGCTCCCGCCTGCGCCGCCCGAGCCACTGCAGCAGGCGCAGCTCAGCGGGAAGGGTCCTCCGCGGAGGCGGGCGGAGAGGCGGAGGAGCGAGGAGGCCGGAGGAGGAGGGCCTCCGGCAGGAGGGCGAAGAGGGATGGGGGAGGGCGAGCAGGAGCAGGCTGGTTCTCCTCCAGCCAGCTCCTCCACCCAGATCCTCCTCGCGATGGGTTCAGATCCCAACCGGACGCGTGAGATCCCAACCGGACGGTTCAGATCCCAACCGTCTAAAACACCAGGCACGGTCAGATCCCAACCGAGGAGGAAGCGA